TTCTTTTCACATCCAGAGAAATATTCTGCCTTTTCAATATTTCCTAGGATATTTCATTTTTCTGGGAGAGGGCTGGATGATAACTTCCCACACACCCATTAAAGCTGGGCCTCTGAGCATTTGGAGGCAGCATATGGAAAACAATCAGCTTTGTAGTCTTTTATAAAGGAAAACGGACCCAGTGCCTTTGTTATAAAAGGATGCTACATTGCACAATATTTCCCAATACATTTCACCTTATGCATTTAAGGAGAAAAGGGGCATCTAAATTAAATATATATGTGAAGTCCCAGAAGTGCTTTTTCAGGAGGCAACTGGACTTTGCTTTTTTCTTTCTTTCTTTTGAAGACGTTTTGCTTCTCATCCAAGAAGCTTCTTCACCTCTGACAGGATAATGGGGAATGGAACTATCCTGTCAGAGCTGAAGAAGCTTCATGGATGAGAAGCGAAAAGTCTTCAAAGAACAACCAGAAAGTCCAGTCGAAAAAGCAGCTTTGGGATTCCTCGTGGTGCAATTCAAATAGCTAGAACTGCTCTCCGGTGGTTATAGTTATATATCAGTGTCAATTAGCTTAGCTGTAAGGGCTAAGCTGTGAGATTTGCACACGGATCTGAATATCTGAGTATTCTAGTTGAAGGAACGTGTGTTTTACAAATAGCCCGTGCCTTGGTAAGTATTGGAAAACCAGCCTCGGAAAAAAACAAAGCAAAACCCGGAGTGATTTGCACCTGTTGGTATGCAAATTATTATCAGTAGAAGAACCAGCTAATTAAGGAGAACTACTTTCAAGGAGCATATACCAGATCTTTCCGCTATTCTAAATACAACGCAGAGATCAGCAAAATCGGCAGAAAAGAATCAATCAAGTTTTTTCTACTTCGTCTGGAAGAAAAGTTGACCAACTGCCGAAATAGCTCAGTTGGGAGAGCGTTAGACTGAAGATCTAAAGGTCCCTGGTTCGATCCCGGGTTTCGGCAAGTGCTTTTTTTCTTCTTCTTCTTTGCTATAAAATAAGAATGTTTCTTCCCAACCTCAACCCGGTTGCAGAACGGTCTCGTGTAAAATCCCGTTATCGGAGGAATACACGTGAAGGGGATTATTGCTGCTCTTTTCCACAAGGTTTTTAATAGGAGGAAGGAAAAAGGACGCTGCAGATGGAAGGAGGAAATGAGTGAGAGAGAGAGAGAGAGAGAGAGAGAGAGAGAGGAAGCAGAGCTGCCTTTGAAAATACTTCGGGAGGCTTATCTTGATTTCTGAAATGATAGTAGGAGAAATTATAGGCCATTAGTTCATTTTTCTGCCTTTCTCACGATCCCCTGTTCACGTGAAGTCTTGCATTGGAGACTTCGTGTTTTGGTTCAAAAGCAGGACTTGCTTCCATTGTTGGCTAAGTTCTCTGGAGGCCCCAGTTTGGCCTGGAGCTGAAAAGAGATTGATCTCTGAATTTGAGATATAGACACTTATACATTCCCAAGTCTGAGGGCTTCTTTGCCCTCACCCAAAAATATAAAATCACCAACTAATTCAGGCAAAGCAAAAAGCATTTATTGGTGGGTGGGTATCAAATAAATCTATGTGTTACAGGAAAAAAAAAATACGTTCAATATGTGTGATGTGTCAGAAAGCAAATGATCCCATAATAAAAGGCATGGATTACATGTGACACTTGAACAAGAGAAAAACTTTGATTCTATTTAACCTTTGCGGCCAGATAGAATCCACAAATACAGGTGTCTCGATTTTCTTTCAAGGATCTTGTTCTGACCGAGACTCCCGAAGAGCCTGCAGCAAACTCCTTGTCCCGACAAAAAAACCCTTTTATTAATTTGCTGGGAATTCTGCTCAGTCACATCCAGCAAAGTCTTTCAAGNTATTTAAATTTTTAATTTTTTTCGTCGCGCTGTGATGACGTCAAATGCGCGCTTTCGTCGAGCGCACTTTTGTGGACCGCGGTTTTGACGGGTCATGACTTTGAATGACTGCTAAACAAATTGTTGTATATTGGGGACTACCTGTACTTCTCTTGCTCCAGCCCAGTGGTGGGTTCCTGCCAGTTTGGACCGGTTTGGGCAACCGGTAGTGGTTTGGCAGCCTGGGTCACCGGAACCGGCAGCAACCCAGACCTACCATGCCCCTGCATCAGTTGTTTTTCGCTTCTGCACATGCACGCACAGTGCACTGATGAGCATACTGACAGTAGTGCCGGAAGGAACCCACCCCTGCTCCAGCCGTATCATATGAAACAGCCTTCAGATTTGGCTTACATTCAACTCAGTTTGAAGGTTATTTTCATACCTGCTTTCACCAATCCGCCAATACATAGGAAAAGAAATTTGCAATTATTGCAAATTGCAAGCTGAATATTGTTATCTGGAGTAAAGCGAGAACAGATGCTAACAAACACAAACTTTAACACACTTCAAAGATTAAAAGTGAATTAGACCCCGAGCGTATTTATAGTTTCTGGAAAGATTTTAGGCCTGAGTTTATTTTATGATATCAGGAAATATAAGTATCTAAATCTGTTTTTATTATGCTAATCTATTGCATATTCCTATCTGGTCCTGGAGATGATAATGCTTGTCACAGGGATCCAGGAGAGAACAGTTACATTGTCAAGTTAATTCGTGTAAGCTCATAAGAATACCTTGGACCCCAACATTCCAAGTACCTTCTTATTTAAATTCCTCCTTACTGAAAGTCTCTGCATGACAACTGATTAAACTGAATTTTAATGTCACACCGTATTCTCATTATCCAAACAATTAGGAGGAGACAATTGAACGCAATCCTCTTGTCATGCCCTGATTTCCCCAGTTCGATTAGGAGGCGGGTTTAACAGATGGCAGAAAACTTAATTGAACCTTAAACATAAAAATAAAAAAATGTTCATATGGAATGTGTGTGTGTGTGTGTGTGTGTGTNCTGCGCGTGCACGAGGATGCCGCCGGCACCGTTCCAACCAAACCGGTTGGAACGGGGCGAGAAACCCACCCCTGAACAGCTGGGTCCAGTGCCTGACACACGGATGCGTAGAAGGCAGAGGAGAGGAGAGCAGTGGAAATCCATGGGCCAGTCCTTGGCACAGAAGGGCTGATGCTGCTAGGGAAGCCCCACCCTAGCTCTGGGGATAAAAGGCAGGGAGCAGAGATGAATAGATATGGCAGACAACCATTCATCTCCCTGCCAGACAGACTTGCTAGCCTGCTGTGTGAGAGAAACTTTTTGCCGGGGTTTCAGGCATTCCTAATCAAGGAATATTTTCAGTTCATATCAGAGGTTTTGTCGTGTTTGGAGAGCTGGGTCAGAACAAAGGAATGGGAACAAGAATGATTGTGGCTGAGGTGGGTTCGGCTGAGTAGGTAGTAACTTGGCCTGCTACACTTCCGAACCGGTTCTCTCAGTGGCCCCATAGGTGCCGCCATCTTGTTTTTTAGCTTCTGCGCGTGTGGAGAAACATTTTTTAATGCTGCGCGTGTACGCATACGCGGGGCGCATCCCGGAGAGAACCGGCAGTAGCAACAGCCGGAACCCACCCCTGGATTGTGGGGTGTGGTTTTGTGCCTGTGAGAGAATGGGACACTTCCAAAGGGAACGCTGAGCTTTGATTCATTTTGTACTTTAATAAAAACGGTGATCAACTTGCTCTGTAGCTATAACCCAGGCCTTCTAGACTACCAGCATGGAAGGGAGTGGCGTTTCTGTCACAGGCTGTGTTTCATTTTCATTGCCTAACGTATAACAGCTACGACCTCTCATATTTTTATCTCTTTCGATGACCCTCATCCAACTGGATGGGGGAGCAATTAAAGCCCGCCGATAAATCTTCCCAACAATTAAATAGCTTGCCACACTTTTTCCTGCGCTGGTTAAATGCTCGCTGGGAATGCCCACCCTCGGTTAAAGACTGCATGATTGAGGAATGTATAATTATCCGATTCACCTTTGCTAATTCTGGGATAGTCCTTTCTTTCTCCAGTTGCTTTTCCTGCCTTACC